ATTTCGTTGGGTAAAGGTCATCGCTGCTGCTATTGTCTGATACTGTTCCATCGCTCGCTTCGTACACAGATTCAACCATTGTAGTGGCGTTGTAGATGGCATTTTCCTCTCTTTCCACAAATTCAAGGAATGGGCCGATCTCTTGATATCCTGTTTCACACTAGTTTTCCAGGTGTTATACGGCGACCAACTTTTTTCTTCACTGTGATTTATAATCGTTGTCTTCTTCAAAACTTTATCGTCTTGATCTAAAGAAAAGAAAATCGCCACTCCATCAAGCCAAATTCAAAGGTAGTACCTGTGTGATGTGTTGCATTCCAAAAGTGTTGAACCAAATGAATAATAAAAAAAAAAATTTTATTTTTGCAGCCATTAGACTCAAATTTAGAAAGAAAAAAAAAATCATTGTTAAAATCATAAATCTAAACTACACAATTATTCAATTTTGGTTGTAGTTAAATCACCGACAAACCGACATGAATGACCATACCAAATACAATGCAATTCCTGACCAAAGCACACTACTGACATCTGACTCCGTGTTTACGGGAAATATTTAATTAAGCCGGGCTCATGGCATGCAAAAGTTATGAATTGGTTCATGTCTGGCCTATTCTGGACAAATGATTTTTATCTAGATCAAAAAATCCTATAGTTTTGACAGTTAAGATCACTGCACATTTAAAACGGCCGTTTACGATTTTCGGGCATAAGTCAGAATTAAGTGTCATGTCGGTTTGTCGGTGGATAAATTCCAACAAACTTTTGGTCCGCTAAATCACAATTGGCATCACTAGTGTGCATCTTTCAAAATGTTAAGATACAGATAAGCCCTGGGACCTGGTTGCAGGTAAGCAATCCTCATGGTTATGCCAATGCTCAGGGATAATTTTTAGAAAATTCAGAAGCGATATAATTATTTGGAAATTAGGTATGAGGAGCAATTCAAAGAATTATTGGGAATGTTAATTTCCACGGTAATTTCAGGAGAATACAAAGTGCATGCTGAGGAGAACTCCAAGTGGTTTTTCAGGAGTAATTTTCGGAGAATTGCGAGAATGATTAATAATATGAAGAGCATTGCAGAGTGAATTCAGAGTGTCCTGCAGAAGATTTTCAATGGTTCCTGATGAATGTAGGCGTATTATAAGTGGAATACCTGTATAATGAGAGAAAGAAGGATTAGTAATTTCCATTTAATTCCACTACCTTACTTGCTTATCCTTGACAGATACGCGTATTTCGTCTACAATGTGCAGACTTCTTCAGTGTCTTGTACTAATACTCGACTATTAGTATTATATGGTGGTTTCATCAAGATAGCGCTATAACATGTTATAACTCTGTAGTCTGAACGTACTATTAGATAAGAAAGTTATATCACAGACAAATAGACATAACACATTGGATATTACTCACTGTAAAACATCTTCGCCAAAACATTTCCGCCATCTGTTGAGTACACTGTGGTGGGCAGTACGCTGAACAGATGGCAACTATGCGCACCACAGGTGGCAGTTCTACCAACTAAGATACTTTTAAAATGACCGTTAAATCACAGACAAACAGACGTAACTCTTTGAATAAAATTTCCGTCCAAACATAGTACCGCTAAACATAGGACTGCACTAACGACATATCGCGGGCTTCTCGCGGAAAACAAGCTTGCTCGCTGATTCGCAAACAATGCTGCATGCAAGAAACACCGTATATATAGAAACGTCAAAGTGATCCGATGATAGCACTGAGGCGAGTAGTTCGCGGAAACGATAACATTCAAACCAATCGTTAAATGCGCAAACGTTGATCCAGAATGAAGAGCTACGACTGTTTGTCTGTGGTTAAATGCTTGTTCGATGAACAACTTGCGAGTGTTATGTCTGCTTGTCTTTGGTTAAATGAATCTTAATATAGAAAAAAAAACTTCATGGTTTAGGTTGTTTTATTAACGGCGCCGGTGGTGGTGTAGTGGTAAGCGAGATTACCTCTCACCCCAGCAGGCCTGGGTTCAATCCCAGTTGACGCCGCCGGGATGTTCTGAGGCATAACATCTCTGATCACGCCTTCCTTCCCCTAATAGAAATGTTATGGTTATTTTGCTTAACGACGTGTTCGGGGTATCATCCAAACCATTAGTGGAAAAGTTCGACTATATGGGTTATCGTTCGTTTATGGTATTTGTTTAATAGGGTCGGAAGGGAAGTAAAGTCGTTGGTCCCCGGTTCATCAGTTGATGGGTCGATAGGTAGGGTTCAGGTGTGGGAGCTGCCTCCCTGGCGTTGGTAGCATTGGTGGTCAGCACGGAAAACAAGATCGACGGAAAACAAATCAAAGGAAAAAAAGGTTGTTTTATTAAAAATTAAATATTCCGGACATGAAAGGGAAATTAGGGAGAAGATTTGGGGACGAGACAAGTTTTCATGTTGAAAAACTAGTTAAAATATTTGAAATACCGAACTTTGAAATTTAAGGTTCAGTAAGGAAATTAATCAAATTGCATTTAATTCTGGGGTTTTAACACTTTGAAAAGTTTCTTGTTCTTGGACTTGGAGTTCGAAACTTTAAGGCTTTGATATTGTATGGGATCCTAGACTCAAGTTTTGACTCAAGTAAATGTTAAACTTCAATGTTTAATGGTTTTGATTGTAAAAATGAAGCGGTCTCTGCAAGCTAGTTACAAGAGAACAATAGCAGAACTCTTGAAGAATACCGCTTCATCTTCCCAGACCACTCCAAAAAGCAGTAATAGGGGAAATGGCTCTAATGTTGGCCTATGGATCTAAGATTCGGCCCATCGCTAAAAGTCTGCTATTTATCAATTTTATCTAGATGAGCGCGTCATTATGACGGTACTAATGGATATTTTTGGTCGCTATTGAATATTTAGTCGATTGCTGAATTTACGTATGGGCCCATATTAGGAACATGTAGGCCGACATTACCTACATTTCCCCTGGTAATACTTTCTCCATTTTGCCGGTTGATGATCTAGACTCTGACTCAGAGTCTGGTGAGGGTAGTCCGTTTGTCTTTAAAGGCGATACGAGAAAACGAGCCAAAAAAAACACCAACGAACAGTCGTAAGGCCACTCGTATGGACCGCCCTCCCCCTTAGAACAATCAAGAGGTAACGGAAATGCAACGAAACCTATTCCACCGGATTTTAAACCTTGTAATTATGACAAGAACTTTCCGTCACTTCCAGGATCATCTAAAACCCCAGATGTCCCAGTTTTTCGGCCAGAAAATCAGCAAAAACATGCCCCCATGTGTCGTGACCTGGCCGAGGTTTCAAGACCAGTGAGGTGCACATCCGTGCGCTACAACATTAGTTAAATGACTGATTCGATCATGCCAAGCGATGCACACAAGGCTCAATTCGTTCACGCATGCATATGTGTGGGTTTATTTACACCTTAGATAATTAAAACATAGATTTGCCACTTCAGAAAATAAACTGGCAACAAAAATGGCGCCTGACTGAGAAAGGCGGTCAACGGGTGAACTAATTTTTTCTCCCGGCGCATTTATAACTTTGCACGCTAAGATTGACTTACTTAGATTGCACAAAGAAATTATCTTGATTGGGTGCATAGCGACAAACCCAAATGGTGTTCATATATGATTTATGTTTATGCAAAATTGACATAAATTTTCCCGTGTTTTGGTTCGTCCAGTTTACGCCCAATTTGAGTAAACATAATCTATGTACGGCTTATTTAATCATAGCTTGCAGAGTAATTTGTGATTATCGTGTATATCTGCATTTGCGTGAACAAACACTTTGAGTACCGATTTCTATATGAAACAACAGTGATTCATACCAGAAACCAAAATAAGGTTTCAACGGTGGGAGTTTCAAAATTGTACGAGAGCTGCTTCCAGTCCAAGTTCAAAAACGTTTCACAATATTCTAGTGAAAAAAAGGTGTTTCCGTAGCTGCTGTTTTTTTATGAACATTTGAATGATATTTTCTTGGGTTTCAGCTCAAGAGACTTAGAGAAATGGATTAACGTCTGCGGTGTCATGACATTCTCGAAAGAGTCGGTTATTTGCAGCGATCAGGATGACGACCTCATTATTCCGCTTTGCAAAACTAAAGAATTAGCTGTTCCGTCTTCAAATCGGAACGTTGCGAGCCAAATTTCACGTTTAGATGGCATTAGTTCGATGGATGTTGACTTTCAATTTAGCGAGTCGGAATCGGAATGTATAGAGATTGACGATATTTATGACAATACAGTTGTACATTATCAATATTATTGACAATATTTCTCCACCACTTTAGATTGAACACAGCTAATAAAAAGCAAAACAAAACCGATGTGGCATAAACAATTTCAATTTTCAACATCAGACGTGGAATGCGCCATCCAAAAAAATAATGTACGCAGGGCAGTTTTGATTCGAAATGCGCACCCATTTCGGCTGCTAAACTTTTAGCTCACCCGTTGGCCGACAGATAGCGCGCTATCAATGTTGCTTTTCGAGTAAAAGCAGGGATGCGCGACTGAGCAATCTATGTTTTAATTATCTACACGGAAACCGCAAAATACGCAAAAATGACTATAAAGGACTCAATTTTGACTATAAAGTATGCATATTCGGCTAAAACGGGACTACACCTAAAATGTGTGTATTTTTTACACATTTTATGAGTATCTGGTACTCATAAATGCATAAAATTTATTCATTTTTGTACTAGTAATTACTCATAAATGTGTAAAATTTTACTCATTTTGTGGGTAGTCCCGTTTTCATTAAAAAATGTGTACTTTATAGTCATAAAAGAGTTTTTTGCGATTACCGTGTAAGATTGAATTCAGTTCGGATGGTCTGCCTAATCCCTGGTAGACCCTGGAAATAATACATAAGACATCCATAATGTTTTTGAAGTAATAAGCGTTAGCAGTAAGTCCAGGGTTTGCATACAAAATGGCTAGATATTAGACCTGCTAATTAAGCTCCTTGAAGAACGCTCCTGTCTTTCCAAAACTATCGTTTCCTGTTTGCCGAACAACTTAAAATCACGGTTTCTCATACCTTATCTAGCCACATCAGAATTCGAAGGCATTTTGCGAACCTACATAAAACCACTCTCAATTTGTTAAATTGTCATTGTATTTAAAAAAAAGCAAAGAAAATAACATCGAACGAAATTCAAAAAATTCAGACAACATTAGATGTGGTCAAACAGTGTAAAAGGAAAGTAACTGAGTTCCGAACTCCGAACGAGGAATCCTGCTTCATATCGATGGCATTCCGATGCCAGCTAAAATTATCAAATTACGACACCGCCGTCTTTACTCGAGCAGAGGTCTCAGTCCAAACTTGATCTTCAGGTGATCATTGACGAGAAAACCTTCGTCGCGGTACAACGCATAGTGGCTGATGACGCTTTTCCACGTGAAACTGGTTCCCTTGGAAAAGTCAAACACGCGATCCTCCCGGATGTTGGCCTCTTCGCACTCGTTGAGCACTTCCAGGAAGATTTGACACCTATGAGAAAGCAAAAGAAAACCCGTTGCAGAGTTGGATTTTACCAAATGTTGTAATGATATGAACTTATTCCTCGCTCCCTTGGCCAGGCAAATGTAGGCGTTGACGTCCGACTTGCTCTCGGCGGAGAAATTCGGTTGAACAATCACATAGATCGTAACTCCGTTGTAGGCCGTCAATTGTGGTGAATAAAATTTGTTATCTTTAGAGCATCTATAGATTTCGAAACTACCGATGGCGTACGGATTCCTGGAAAACAGGAACCATGTTATTAGAATCGGAAGATGATAAAAAAAATGCTGAACATTACATCGATTTCATAGCGATTTGCATAGACTCCAGCTTCGCTTGAAGTCGTTTCAGATCAGCGTTTAGCTTCTGTTTGTCCACTTCGGTCGGCGTCAGTGGAACATTAATCGAACTACCCGGAGTGGATGGTCTTTCATCGGCTGCTAGTTTCAACTCTTTGATCTGTCGTTTGAATACCATTGTTTGTGTTTCGTACAAGTCTTTCAAACGTTTCATTTCGCAACTCGAACGCATCATGTCTCCTTGTTGAATAAAATTCTGATCCTTTACTGCGGCCAGTTCCATTTGCAAATGACCAGTTGCCTTCCGTTGTTCTAGCAACAGTTTTTTTACCAGAATATTTTCTTCGACTATGTTCTCCGAACGGATGCCGATCTTCAACCGCAAATCGCCCGCCTTGGAAAGAAATCCGCTATTCTGCAGCTCATCTAACGGAATCAGCTCCGTTGGCAGCAGCTTTTCACGGAATGTAAACGTCTTACTAGTCATTTTCATCTGATTCAAATGGGATATTTCCACAACGGCACGAAAGTTGAAATCTCCCACCAATAGATTCGGATACATCTCTAAAACTATTGACGTAGCCCGAATATGACAGATCGTTATCCATTGAATGCCACAGTCGTCTTCTAACTGGAACGGAACACGTTTGTTGCTTTGGTCCCCATCAAGCGGAACGTTGAGAACGATCGGCTCTAGTGTGCACGCTGGAAGTAGATCGCTGCAAAGAAATAAACCCGGTTTGGAAGGAATCGCAAAATCTCATTCACAATCATTCATACCATTGGATATCATCCCAAGTTACCGATTGCACCTGCAGCTGTTCGACGTCATTCAAGATGCGTTCGCACCTTTCGTTGAGCACTTCCTGCTGTCTCAGGAAATCGCTCGTATTCAAATCCCTGATCTGCTGCAGCATCTGTCGGTTTTGCAGTTCCATCTGCAAAACGTATTCCTTGATTCCTATTAGAGTTCTTTTCTTCTCGGCCGTCTTCCCCAGCATTACGGCCGTCCGGTTGTGAATCAACTGTTGAATCTCATTCAGGATGTTCTGTTCAACATTCTGCACAATCTTTAGATTATCATCGACCTGCCGAATTGCTTCCCAATCAATCAGTTTCAACCGCTGGGGAATTTTCCGGAACTTTTCAACCGTTTCCAACAGCTTTTGGCGATAGATGACCTCGACCGTATCGATCGTATGTCGTTTGTGTTCCGGTAGCAGGACAAAACAGTCATAGCAAATCTGCAGATTACAGGTCAAACAGTACAGATCCAGAGTCCGTTCCGGATGCAACGGACAAGTGACGATGCCCTCCTTTTGGCGACGGTCGCGGTAGCACGCCAGGCACAGGATGTGCGGTACACTGAACAGCGACACGGAATCACTCGGTTCCCGGGAACACTTGCTGCAGCAGGACTTGTCACATCCGGTGCACAGCGCTACAGATTCTGCAAGGGTTACCGCGGAGCAGTTCGTGCAGATCACCGGGTCGGAGGCGGATGCCATCGTTGAATTCTTATGTTTTAGCTGTATTTTATCGATAATGGATGGAAAATGTTTAGAAAGAAATTACGAACAACACCAGGCACGTTCTTATCACTGCACATAACCAACAAAGAATGGTCATAATAGAGATGAACTTCATTAAATTAAATCATCAAATTTTGACAAAGAAAACTGTTATAATATATACAATCCCGTTATTCACTTCATTCTGCATATCAGATCTGAAATTCTGGAGTAACAACAGAACAGGGCCCATCAACATTTGTAAACACACGCAGAAAAAACTATCGCCGAAACCAAAATATTTGAGGTAAATTTAATCGTAAACTCAGTTTGTTCTGGCCACAAACATAAATTAGGTTGATTTCAAACGTATTCCATGTTTGAAATAATGTAAAATTGATGTTTAAAATAAAAATAATGTTACGTTTATTTCGAGGTTTATTTTAAAAATATTCGTTTGAAAATAAACGTATTTGTTTTTGTTTGGTTTGACAGCTATGCGAACAATAATAAATATGTTTATTTAAATAAATAAACATACATATAATGAAATTATTTTTGTAGTTGAGTGCAGGGCGAGGTGCAGGGTAAAGCAAAATAAAAAGTACCGGCCGATTTCCCTAACATGCTGCGCATCGAACACGCAGAGAAAATTGACCTTATTGAACCAAAAAAAAATATTATTGAAATATTTTGCAATGTCAAATATAACTTTTTTTGAATTCAATATTTATATTTTGTAGCTTCAAAAATGTTTTTTGTTGTTTTCATTGCAAATTCTGAAAACAAATATATTGTAGATTCAATACAATATATTTTTGTCTTCAAATATTATTTTAACTACTTTTTAAAAATATATTGTAAATTTAAAAGCAACACTTTTCCAAAACATACACAGGCTCATTTTGTCATTGTATGTGTGTGTTTTCAATGCCTGTGCATGCTCGGCTTCCCAGTCTCGTCGGAAGAAGTTCTTTTTGAACAAGTTGCTTTCTTTGTAAGGAATTCAGTATTCGCATTTTAATACGTGTTTTAACGATTTTTTCCCCCAATTCCAGCAAATCAATACACCGTGGAAACGTTGCCCGTTTCGAAACGCAAACTATTAATTTACATACCGTTAATGAGAGGTCATAATTTCGGTATTTTTTGTATAATTGATAAACCTATTGAATCACTATTTGTACCGTTTGTTAATAAATAGAAAATGAAACCAAAAACAATTTTTAAATTTATTGAAAATTATTTCTCGAATAGAAAAACTGCTAAAATTAAAAATTAAAATATTTATGCCAAACCAATTTTTTTTTTAAATTATTAAAACAATTTGTTATTTGCAGCAATTTTTTTTTTTGAATAAAAAAAAGTTATTGTTGGTATCAACTTATTTTTTTTTATCAAAAAAAGATTTTGTCTGTTTGAAAATAAATATTGTAAATTCAACAAAATATATTTTTAATTGCGTTTTTGACAGATTTTGAAAACAACAATATTTTATGTCCGAAAAATAAAGATTTATTGTTGAATTCAATAAAAAAAGTTATTAGCCGGGGAATGATAATTTTTGTTGTTGTTTTTAATACATAATATCATTGAAATTAAAAAACTTTTTTCTGCGTGAAGATAATGGAGAGGATGGTGAACAGGAGACTACTCAGATTCCTGGAAGAAGATAATCTTCTAGACCACCACCAACACGCATTTAAACCGGGGCACGGGACCAGCACCTACTTCGGATCCCTAAGCGAGGCCCTTCAGGATACATTTTCCAAAAACCTTCACGCAGAACTGGTCACTCTCGACCTATCCAAAGCATATAACCGGGCATGGATGCCGGGAGTGCTTGACCAGCTGAAGAAATGGGGACTCAAGGGACATATTCTAAAATTTATCCAGAACATTTTTCTTACAAACGTACCTTCCAAGTCACGCTTGGAAACTGCCGATCCAAAACATTCGAGGAGGAAACAGGGGTACCACAGGGTTCTGTGATCGCCGTTACCCTTTTCCTCATTCGGATGAACGATGTCTTCACACGGTTACCAGTTGGAATCTTCATCTTCGTCTACGCGGACGACATCGTCCTAATGGTTGTCAAGAAAACGGTGAAGGCACTGCGAAGAAAGCTTATTCAGGCCATCACCTACGTATCGACATGGACCTCGGCGGCCGACTTCCAGCTATTCGCTGCTAAGAGCGGATTCACCCACATCTGTCTGATAAAACACCAAGTCCTCAGCACCAAAGTCTGCATCAAAGAAGACCTAATTCCATTTCGAATCCTCGGGGTCTGCTTTGACCGACATCTCACCTTCGACACACACTTCAACGATGTCAAAAACGGATGCAAACAGCGTATGAACCTGCTCAAAACTCTAGCGGGTAGACATCCAAATGTCAACCGAAGATCCCGACTGAACGTGGCGAAAGCCATCATCAACTCACGCCTAACCTACGGAATCGAAGCTACGTTCCTTGCCATGCCCCGATTGATCGAAAAGTTAGCGCCGGTCTATCAACAATCTCTCCGAATCTGTTCGGGTCTTTTGCCAGGTAGCTCCGGAATAGCTGCTTGCATCGAAGGACGACTGCTCCCCTTTAATTGCTTCATCTCCAAACCTATCTGCCAACGAGCCGTCGGACTTTACCAGCAGACATCAGGAGACGACAAGGAAGATTCCCTCCTCACGGAGACGAACAATTCACTGAGGGAAGCATCCAACCCGACTCTCCCCCCCCCCCTCAATATCCAAGGTTTACTGCGTCGGAGTGAGGGGTTGGAACAAGCCGAAGATTCTGACCGACCACACAATCAAACACCAATTCAGAGCTGGTGCCAATCCTTCAACCTTCAAACATGTGCTGCACTCTCATTGGTGGAAAAATGGCAGCACAGCGAACAAAAAACAATCGATTAGTTGTTAATCGAGTAATTAAAAAATGGGACATCAATGATTTTGGTGTGATTGTTTTGATAAAAAATGAGCGCAAAATTTCATCTCTACCGAGGGGGCTGGAAACCACAAAATTACCTTGAATACGGGGGGTATTCATTGGATGAAAGGGGCCGTGAAAGAGGACACTAAAATAGAAAGTATTTCTTCCGACAGTTTCATCTTAGTATTCATCTTTGGTTAAACCCCTGCCATCAGAAAAATTAAAACAGACATCTCCAGGTGGGCGGACCCACCGATACATCGAGAGCAGGTCATAGTATCCCGACTTCGAACACATCATACAAACATCTCCCACAACTACAAGGGAGACGGACCTTTCCATAGGATCTGTGATCTAAGCCGAATTCCACCAACGGTAGATCGCATTATCTGCCACTGTCCGAAATACGAAGCACCAAGAACCCGCTACGACATCCCGGGAAGCATCAGCCATGCCCTCAGTAACGATCCTACCAGAATTACAGCCCTTCTAGCTTTCCTGCGGGAAGCTGAGCTGTTTGATCTAATCTGATCACCTAACTCACCATCATCATCATCACCACCATACCATATCTAGATCACACTCGGAACCTGAATCTCACAACACCAACCACCCACATCAGCAACTATACAGACGAATGCAACGAAAATGGAATTCTCCAACAAAATGACAGTATTAAGACAGCCACTAAGCAACTAAGGGACCCCTTTCGGAGCCCCACCCTCGGAGGTTCCCTTCCAGGGCCACCAAATTAAAAACTCCGTAGCTAAAAACTCTGTTTCTGGGGCCCCACGCCCTTTTTCGGAAATCCCCTCTGGGATCCAAACTATGTTGTTAGGGTAATTTCCCTCTGGAATTCCCACCCCCCTCAAATAGCGGAGTCCCCATCTGGGATTCCCAGAGACGAACCAGCCCAAGGCTAAAAGCACAAACGAAGTGACAGACGGAGCGGCTCGAAAACTTTGGTGACTAAGAGCAACCGTAACGGTCGTTGTCATTTGCGCGACTATTTTAACAGCGCACAGCGCTCTCATTTTAGTTTAGTCACTCTTCTCCACACCGGTCGCTGCTATCGCGGTTATCAATTTACTCGCCGTAGTCCGTACCGGTAGTGAGCATTTTGACATGTCTACGAATAGCAACCTTTCTCTCGCGCTGCTAAATTTGGTAACGCGCTTCTCACCGGGAAGCCGACTGCTATTTTAGTTACTCGTATGGCAACCCCCGATACGGTAGCTGCGTTATGATGAGGGCTGCTAAAATGAGTTTAGCAGCGTACCGTTACGGTTGCTCTAACCTGCTATTTCAATTTTTCAGTGTACCACATGGCAACACCACTGCTACTGGATTGTACCAACAATCAATACGAAACTAACGATTTTAAATTGGCTCACTACTTGACTAGCCTATTGGTCCCAAGCAAACGATTAACGTACCCCATTCTAGTCAAAATTCTACTACTACACAATGTTTGTTTTGATTCACTATGATTGTTTGACAGATAAAATGAGGGGTTAGTGGATTTTCGAGGGGTGAATCGATTAGCTTGGGACCGAAGAGAGTACCAGAGCTGAGCCAAAAAGTTGAGCACGTTATTTCGGGACCTTCTTGTCTTAGAGTTACCTCTATGATTGTACCATATGGCAACACTACTACTGGATTGTACTAGCATTTTCACCAAATGTATTAGAATGTTTTGGTTCTATCTCTTTCACTCTACTCAAAACTGAAATGCATAAAAAATGACAAAATGATACACTCTTTGCACACTGTCAAATAATCATTGTACAAAAAATCAATTTTGTTCAAATCAAAACAAAAAACCACATTATTTTAATGGATTTTTTCGCCAGTTAGTCGTCTGTCACTTCATTTGTGCTAAAAGTCTCTTTAATAAAGAAAAAAATTAAAGGGTTGTGTCCTAGACACGACCGCAGTATGACGTAGAACCTATCTATCTATCTCTATCTATGATGCATGATATATGCATTTAGGTTAACATCCGAAGACCCTCCTTTTTTACATATTCTGCACAAAACATACTTTCTAAGCCCCGCAACTGACAGGATTTCCCGCCATTTTATTATGAATGGGGGCGGGGCAGAACGTTTCTTTTATGCAGAATATCGAAAAAAGGATGGA